TCCCTGGGGATAGCTGGACAGACAGGATTACACAGGTACACAGTGCCACAAGAAGTCATGTAAGAATGAAGTGAATCAGTTTGTTATCATAAGGATTAACCTTCTGCTCCCTATACTGGACTCTCAAGCTCAGAATTGTTCTGTTCCCATAGTACAAATGTACATTTGGCAACTTAATTTTCTTCCCATTATTCTGAAAAATAATTAATGTAAAAGTTATTTTTTGCAATAATCTTCATTGAACTAAATTCCAAGTTCATTAAATATCATTATCTACAAAAGTGTCAATTGATCCATGTGTTATTTTACGTTTTAACCAAAGTTATGTTTCCATTGTTTTCTGTAAACATTCTGTGCATTTGATAAGATCTGAAGCAGCAGTATCCTGGTTCCAATGATGTCCTATGTATCTAATGTGAGGTCTCTGTGTTAAACATCAACCTGCTGGGGATCTCAGAGGATTTAAAATCACTTGGAAGTGGGCCTACAGCAAAGAGGTTGACAAAAAAGAAGCAATCAGGATCAAGCCCTGGTAATTACAGAAACACTAACAGAAGCAGCTAAGTAGCTGGAATGATTAGAAACTCAATTCCTGAGTTCAAGCCCTGGGGATTTCTGTCACTCAAACTCACTCGCTTCAGTTGGGTGAGTTTAATTAGTTTTCAGCCAGGTTGCCGGATGGGCCCAACATGATAATGAGGGAATCCATTCGATAGGAGGGCACTGCAGGCTGAGACCCAATATATGACCGAATTGTACCTTCTTTCAATTCACTGTGTAAAGCCACATTGATGTAAACTTCGGGAAGGAACTACAAAGAAATATGTTTCATAAATTCAAAAAGGGGCAAACGTATTATCATTGGCATTATGGTTTACAATATTAAGATCATAAAGTCCAATGCACCAATGGCATAATGTATAATATAATACAGCATAATGCAATTTAGAAAATAGCCAGAATCCTGTGACTGAAATTCTCCTCCAACTCATATCTTTCAATTTTTCTTTTACATTAATCCAGAATACAAGAATCAACAGTATTCAATGGACCAGTTTTGGATGATCTGCAGCTTGTGAAGGGAAGAGTTGGGAAGGCCAATGAGGAGGGAGTTCCCGTAATCGAGCCTTGAGGTGATGAATGCATGGGTGAGGGTTTCGGCAGCCTGAGGGGTGAGGGAGTGGCGGAGTCTGGCAATGCTGCAGAGGTGGTGGTAGGCAGTGCCGGTCATGGTGCGGATGTGGGGGAAAGAGGACAATTCAGGGTGACACAAGACACCCAGGTTCCTGACCTGCTTAGTGAGGTTGAGTGTGCAGCCTTGGAGGCTGATGCTGCCAGCGCCTGAGATGCGGAGGCGCTGGCGTGAGCAAATCAGGAGGGCCTCGGTCTTGCTGACGTTCAGTTGGAGAAAGTTGTCCCTCGTCCAGGACTTGATGTCGGACAGGCAGTTGGTTAGGACGGCAGTAGTTCTGGAGTTGAGGGCGGAGGCAGAGAGGTAGAGTTGGGTGTCATCCACACGCACTTGGAAATTTACCCCATGTCTGTGAATGATGTCACCAAGGGGGAGCATGTAGAGGTTGAAGAGGAGGGGACCGAGGACAGAGCCCTGAGGCACACAGCACGAGATAGTGCGGGGGCTGGAGGAGAATCCGTTTGCTGAGCCGAAGTGGAGGCAGTGTGAAAGATAGGACCTGAACCAGTCAAGGACAGAACCTTGGAGGTTGATGTGAGAGGAGAGGCCATGGAGGAGGATTGAGTGATCCACAGTGTCAAAAGCGGCGGAGAGGTCAAGGAGGACGAGGGGGCAGAGGGAGACCTGGTCACACATGGTCAGGATGTCATTTGTAACCTTGACCAGAGCAGTTTCCGTGCTGTGGGCAGCCCGGAAACTTGATTGGAGGGGTTCATGGAGGGATTGGGAGGATAGGAAAGAGCGAAGCTGGGAGGCAACGGCTCTCTCAAGGATCTTGGACAGAAAAGGGAGGTTGGAGATGGGCCGGTAGCTGGATAGCTATGATGGGTCAAGGGAAGGTTTCTTCAAGGTGGGGGTGATAGTGGCTGTTTTTAGCGGTAGGAACAGTACCAGATGACAGACAGAGGTTGATGATGTCAGCGAGTAATGGGTCAAGGAGGTGGAGCTGGGATTTAAGGAGAGGGGTGTGGATAGGGTGGTGGGCTTCATGGCAGGATATGGCAGTGATGATAGAGGAGGGGGTAACAGATTCAAAGATGTGGAAGGAGGGATGGGTAGTGGTCGGAGTATGGGTAGGTTTAGGGAGGGGGTGGAAGTTGGGAGGGCAGTGGCAGCTGAGCGGATTCCCTCGATTTTGGACTCGAGGAAGTCCAGCATTTCTCGCAGTGGAAGTCAGAGGAAAGAATCTGTGAGGCATGGCGGGGAGGGCGGAGGAGCCAGTTGGTGGTGGAGAACAGGAGCCTGGGATTGCCCTTCGCCCCCAGGATTAATCTGGAGTAGAAGGGCGATTTGGCTGAGGCGAGAGCGGAGCGGTAGGTTTTGATGTGGTCCAGCCAGATGTGCCGGTGGACTGTTAGGCCGGATTTGAGCCCGTTCGGCAGCCCGCACCTGGCCCTTGAGTGAGCGGAGGAGGCCAGTGAACCAGGGTAAGGATCGGGAATAGGAGGCAGTTCGGGATGTGAGGGGGGCAAGGGTGTCTAGTGTGAATGACCCAATGAACAAACCCACCTTTCCCTCCGCACTTCTCACTCACAAAATCAGAAAGGAGATTGAGAGACAAAAGGAAAGACCGAAAAATGGAATTGTGCTATGTCTCAGATAGACCCATTATCCCCAGGCGAGTTTCCCTATGATCTCTGTGGAATGGTCTGGATACTGTGTTAATGCTCAGAATGTAGTTTCCCTCCCGCAGAGAATCTCTGTATTGAATGGCATTTTGTTTTCAATACAGTACAGTAAGCAGAGATTCGTCAAATGAGCTTGTATCAGGGATTGAATTTGGGACCTCCTGGTCTGCACAGTTCAGCACCACATGAACTACTACATTTACCTACTGAGCGACCAGGGAATGTTTCTTATGTTTTAAAATGTCTCTGTAAGCACATGCCATGAATGTTGCATCTTATTGATTAAGAAATTAGTTACGTTTCTGTGTAATGTAGACCCCAACCATTAGATCAGTGTAGTGGATACATTTTAAAAGGTACTTGAAATAAAAATCAAGCCAGTTCTTCTTTTTAAAAAAAACGATAAATTATTGCCATGCAGTTTATATAAGGTGCACTTAAAAGACAAATAAACTTTAGACCTCTTTGGGAACAGATAAATCATTTATTTTTATTTGCTTTAATTTTGTATAAATCCAAAACGCCTTGCAAACTAACAAAAAAAATTCAATTACACTCAAGAGAAAAATACCTTTTGTAGAAAAATGTTGTTGCAAAATACATTTTCACCATGCAAAAATATGTGGAGTCCTGTAGCTCAGTGGTTACAGCGCTTGTCTCACAAGGAAGAGATCTGGGTTCGATTCCCGGCAGGGCAAAACCTTAGGGAAGTTTCCTTACTCCACACGCCTATAATAATCCCTCAAGAAAATAAACAAAAGAATAATAATTTGGTCACTCAATCCATGACTGTTTGTGGGACACTGCTGTGCGCAATTGACTGCTGCGTTTCACCCACAAATATACTGTCAATTCACTTTACAATTCTGGGAAGCGCTTTGAGACATCTAGAAGATGTGAAAAGCGCTATATCAAATGCAAGGATTATTATTATTGTTGTAATATAAAATGATGCTATCCCTTCAGCATTAGATTCATAAAGAGTGGAGTCTAATTTTCGATATTACTAAGAGGGGTGGGAAAATGCTAAGAGGTCATATAATAAATAATATAATAATCCTTGCATTTGATATAGCACCTAATCACATCATGAAACATCTCAAAACGCTTCACAGAATATACTGAAAAGTGAATTGACTATATTCAGTACAAAAACAGAAGTCGCTGGGAACACTCAACAGGTTAGGCAGCATCTATGGAGAGAGAAAAGTGAGTTAATGTTTCAGGTCGATGAACTTCTGACAAAGTGTCGTGGACCCTAAACGTTGACTCACTTTCCTTTCTCCATAGATGCTGCCTGACCTGCTGAGTGTTCCCAGCGACTTCTGTTTTTGTTTCAGATTTCCAGCATTTGTTGTATTTTGCGTTTTGACTGTATTTAGTTGTGGACAAAAGGTCAGAATAGGAATAGGAATTTCCAAAACATTAAAAGTGCAAAAACAAGGCCAGAGAGTGAAAATGGGGGTCGTGAGAAATGGTGTGTTTGCATTTTTCAGCAGAAATCACAATGAATAGTTTTGTAAATATTGCAAACTAGATCCCCCCATTACGATTGACTTCTTTTATTGTCAATGTTCATTTTCTGGTTGGTTTTACGCTCCTGATAAAATATTCTTCAAATTACAGGATACTGCATAGTGTACTTATTTATAGAGTATAAATAATCCTTTCATTTGATATAGCATCTACAAGAGTGAAACATCATAAAATACTTCACAGTTGACAACTGCCAAGTGTAGTAACTGTATATTTGTAAACAAATAACATTCAATTTGTGCACAGCTAGGTCCCACAAACAAAGAAGCTGACCCATATATCTGGAAGGTTGTCAGCGAGGACACCAGGCGTAACACTTTTCCCTTTTCAAACAGTTTATTGCTTGAGGTCGTTAGATTATACCTGACACAGACAGACTTTCTAAGGCATTGACTGAATGATTAATGAATTAATGCCTTGAAACAGAGTGATAACAGTTGTCAAAATACTTAGACAATTTAGTATGATACTCTTGCCATTAGTTACATGAATGTTTATTTTGCACTTTAGTTTGTTGCTTATATTACAAACAGTTAATCTGAGAAGCTATCCCGCATTGAGGATGATATATAAATGCAAGTCGATGTTAATACAATGACAAAAATCAAGTTGTAAGTGTGAAAGATTATAGAGCAGTAAAACTCTGAAATGAAGTTCTCCATTTATTTAGTTAGTTAAAGTGACAACAGTTTTTTCCAAAAAAAAGCCATTCAGAAACAAATACAGATGTTTAAATAAGGCAATACAAAGTTTTATTGGATTCACTGTGGTATGTGGAATAACTGGATTAGTGTATACTGTGAGGTCCACTGGCGTGGATGAATGACCCCTTATTGAGTGCCCAACTGACTATGGGCACGCTTCACTGAACAGCCACCAAGAGCCTGCACTGCAGGTGCACAGAAGAGGCAAAATTTACTGGTATTGAGTAAGCAGTGCATTGAACATATGATAAATAAGTGTCTGATTTAGCTTTTGGCAAATATACATTGGGATCTAGTTCGCAGTATTCTTGTCAGGATTCAATAATTTAAGGAGTCTAAGTCACATTAATACAAAGCATTCTGGGAACTATAAGTTACATCAAGATGATCCACAGGAACTCTACTCCTCACAGTCAGATGCCTGAAATTCAGATTTTCCACATGTCAACAGGAATTCTAACGGGATAATCCCATTAACTGCAGCACTAGATTGTACTCTGCAGAGAATCACAGAATTAAATAAATTGCAACATAGAAGTAAGTCATTTGATTAACTACTCCAGTTCTATTTCCCTGCTCTTTTTTCATAAAATTTTATATTTTTTCTCTTCAAATTTTCAGCAAATTACCCATGGCTGTATAGTGGACATTGTTTTGTGCAATTGGGCTGCCACATTTGCATTTGTCGTCAAATACACAACCACTCCACTTCGCAGTAAATCCTGAGAAGTGCTTGTGTGTGCCCTCCCAATCCGAAAGAGGCAATAACACATGCAAGGATTATTATTATTATTTATTATAATTTCCATTTTAAATGTTGTTTTGGTCTCAGACTCAATAGCCACCTGCGACAAAATGTTCAATATTCTAATAATTAAGTGTGAAAAATGTTCTTCTGAACCCCTCCTTAACTACTCCAGTGAGAGTTCTGGGCAATGCCCCCATTCACAGATCAGATAGTGGTGCTGGTGTGTGTCAGGTCCATGGGCCAGTTGCATAGCAAGAAAGAGATGTCTTCATTATCAGTTATAGAAAACCATAGCTGGATGGAGTCCTACCAGTGGCAAAGAGTTGCCCCAGGCAGCATTCTTGGGATCCATCTGCAATGTACAGGAACATAGATAAAATAGATTCAACAGAAGCCGACCAGCAAGTGGACATTGTTAGTCTAGAGCAAATCCTGTCAGAGATTAATGGACAAAAGAAAACTGCTTTATAATTTCATGTGTCTAAAGCTAGGGATTTGCCCACAGAACTGGCAAGTACCAAAGATACCATCAAGTAAAATGATACCTAGTTGTAAAACGATCTCTACCTCCACCAGGGAAAGTCCATTCTGCAACTCCTCTCCACTGTATCAGTTTCTTATGCTACATAAGGTTTGGGTCAACTCTCCCCCAGGCTCTCTCCCCATCTTTACAACAGTTTACGCACCCTCTATAATCATTTAGTACTTTGTGTGACACTTCAGCTGGAACGCCAAAACAAAAGTGCTGTAATAATAGGGTGCACACACCTTCATGTGAAAATACCTGTCCCAAAAACTCGCTCAGCCTCTGACCCTTACATTTATTAGACACGGCCAGCTGCTTAAACAATAAAGTGCAGCAGCAATATTTTACCATTGAATCTGCTCAACAGCAGTCACTGTTATAGATCAACCCACTTGCCACATACAAGCAGAAGGATTTTGTTGCTAAATAAACATTTTTATTACAGCTTTCATCTTCCTGGGGAAGGGAAGAGGAATAAACAAAGATGGAGTAAGCAACTTGCAGATGAGAGCAGTATCTGAATGTAAAGGAACTCTCTAAAGCTGTCTTTTTATTACAAGGAGGATTTTGCCCACAGTACACACAGTCCCTCCATTTTACAGTATATCCCATGAAGCACTTTGAAATGTTCCCAGAGACACTAATAATAATAATGCATTTGATATAGCGCCTTATCACGTCTTTGAGACATCACAAAGCACTTCACAGAATACACTGTAAAATGAATTGACTGTATATTTTGTGGGCAAAATGCAGCAGCCAGTTGTGCACAACAGTGTACCACAAACAGTCGTGAATTGAGTTGCCAAATTGTAATTATTTATTTTTATTTTTTGAAGCGATTATTATTCCCAGAAAAGCCACCAATCGACTAACAACCGATATATATGAAATGTAAGGATTATTATGTATTGTTAAAAAATGCATCACTCACAAACCAAACATTGAGGCCAGTAGAGACCTTGGTTTTGCAACTGATGTTGTGGGACCTGCTATGCAACTTGAAAAAAATAAAAAGAATATTGGGGGGACAATTCCCCAAACAAGCCATTTTGCAGTTTGCTTTATGGCATTTTGTTAACGTTTAACATATCTTTTCTCAGCCAAAAAGTAGCTCCCAAGCGAAGGCCAGCCATGATCCAAATTTCCGGTTAGCAAACATTTTAAACCCCAATACAAAATACCATGTGTCTCATAAAATAGATGGGATACAATAAAACAACTCTGTGTTAGAGCCACTCAAAAAAGATGTTTTCAGGCATCATAACATTATTGATACAGCGGGTCTATTTCTGGATCATTTTATGTAAAGGCACCTTTGACAGTTTTCTAATGTTAAGGAAATTAGTTAACAATAGGCCATTCTTACTGCATATTTTCATCTGCCACATTTAAGCTTAGCTCCAGCTAAATCCAGATGTCCAATCATTGCCCAGTTTCTAATGTGCTTGGCATGAAATGAAATCATAGAATATTACAGCACAGAAGGAGGTCATTTCAGACCATTGTGCCTGTGCCGGCTCTTTGGAAGAGCTACCCAATCAGTCCCACTCCTCCGCTCTTTCCCCATGCCCCTGCAAATGTTTCCTCTTCAAGCACCTATCTAATTCTCTTTTGAAAATTGTTATTGAATCTGTTTCCACCAGCCTTTCAGGCAATGCATTCCAGACCATAACAACTCTGTGTAAAAAACAATTCTCCTCATTTCCCCTCTGTTTTTTTTGCCAATTACCTTAAATCTGTGTGCCCTGTTACTGACCCACCAGCCAGTAGAACTATCTACTTCATCAAAACCCCTCATAATTTTGAACACCTCTATTAAATCTCCCCTTAACCTTCTCTACTCTACAGAGCTAATTCCCAGCTTCTCTTGTCAGAAAATAAGGAAGTGAGGTTCGCTGTCATCTTAAAATCAGGCTAAGGTTATGGCTAGGATGTCCAGTCCATTTGATACAGGCCTTTATCATGCAAATCCAAGTTGTATAGTAGACACAATGCCCAAGATTAGAAAAAATGCAGGAAAAAACAGAAAAAGTTAAAATATAAAATATGATAAAGAAGATTGCTTTCAAAAGAGGAATATTAGAGGAAATGGAGAGTGGGACTAGATTAGTTTAGGTGGCTTGTGTGGAGAAAAATATCAGCACAGGCTTGATGGGCCATAAGGCCTGTTTCCGTGCTGTAACTTTGTATAAATCTGTGGTTCAACAGCTAGGCCAGGAAATCATAGGGAATTGAAAGAGAAATTAGGGGGGTTTCTGAATTGAAGAGGTCAATACAGCTCAGTTTAGAATTGTAGAAGGTGTGTTAGAGGTTGATATAAGAACCTCTACTATTATTTTCCAGGATCATTTTAATCTTTCCTCACAGAACATACAGTACAAAAAGTCTATTAACAGATCTACATAGTACCAATGTAGATTATTGTCATACCTTTGTCACTCTTTGCTGAGTGTTTAAGTGTACATTTTATTTTTGATCTAATCATGAAACATAACTAATGTGAATCAATTTTCTCTCGATAGAAGAATCGGCTTCATTTGGGATCCAAGAATACACAGATGTGATGTATTGTACAAGCCCAATTCACAAGGCTTCAAGCCTCTAAGGTCACAGATAGGTTGACACTTGATTTTTTTTCCCCATGAAGAAGTATGCATATCAACGATTGATTCCAGGAATCAAATATGACTTGATCCTCAGTCACTCATCTCTGAATTCCAAATTGTGCTCACCAACCTTAATGTTCAGGTTTTGTTGATTTGTAATTCAGCATGAATATTGCACTCTGATATTTACAAACCGGAAGTCGAGTTTAACACAAATCTAGTTTGCAAATCTGTAGGCAAAATTATACCTGGATCTAGATTTATCTCTATTGCCATAGTAAGAGAGAGTTTGAAGAGAGCTTTCTGCAAGTTCTTTTAAGAAATACAGAAAATAGGCTTCAAAGTTTAATCTGAATTCAACACTTTGCCAAATTCGGTATGCTCTGAAATATTATTAAATCTAGACTCAGTTGGAATTTCTACCCCATCGTCTTCTAAAGAAAAATGATTTCATCCTCAGTCATTCATCTCTGAATACCAAATTTTGTTTGCCAGCCTTAATATTCAATCACTTCTTGGCTGTTTGTGGGACATTGCTGTATGCAAATCAGCTGCCATGTTTCTCTGCAAAAATAGTCACAACAAATCCCATGTGTTGCTTCGAGATGTACTCCCGATATGAAGGGGCAGTATATCAAATGCAAGGATTAGAATTATTATTGACTTCATTGTCCACATAACATTGAAAGTCAGGAAGCTGAGGTATTACAAAGTCACAATAAGCACGGAGCTGGAAAAAGGAGTAAAAACATAAAAACCAGTCAACCCAAACCATTAATCATCGGTTATTATGACTGTGTTAAAATGATAATGATCTAGCTGTTTCTTCATCATTAGATTTCAATGAGGCAGAAGTAATCTGATTTTAATTATATACTTGACAAAAGTCCACTTTTTTTCCCCAGGACTGCCCTATTGTGGAATCCATCACATGTCTATGTGCCTAAAATAGCGAGGGAATGTATCAGCAGCTGCCCTAAGGGTCTAACACTTCCGGGGGAGATTGCCCTCGGAGTCGCCACTTTGGAATGTCCAGGGAATGAAAACAAAAATTGTGCCAACTGTGCAATTTCTCCTTTTTATAGAATCCCAAAATCTCTATTTTTATTTTCTGAGAAACAAATGCTTTCCATCCATCATTTTTCCACAAAGTCACAAGATTGGTTTGGATGAAGATGGCCCTTTGTCCCATCTGCTCTCATCCTTCCAGAACAAAAATGGCAAGCGTCATAAAGCAGTTGGTTTTTTTTGAGGTGGGGAGTAATTCAAATAAAACGAGAATAAAACATTTAAAGCACAAAATATTCACAGCACAGTCCGTCTTGTGAAAATGAACACAGTGCCACATTCTAATACACTCAGCGAAGGATTAAGAAGAATAATTCAGCACAAAACTGTTTCAGCCTGTATCAATTCACTGATTCAGTCTATTAAGGATCCCATGTTGTCAGGAATTGTGAGGAGTTGCTGATGGAGATGACGGATTCCTGAACATAATCAAGTGGAAGAGGGGAAGCTCGTGAAATTGAGTTTACTGTCATAGCTCACAATCCTCTGAACAGTTACAAAGAAACCATCTACATCAAACTAGCCACATCAGTTTCTGTGAAAGCAAAAGGGTTCTCTCGAATGTTGTTTGAAAACTATTAGTGTATAATGCAAAAAAATTCTTTTTTTTATATACACACAGAAGTTTCTGTTCTCCTTTATGAAATCTTGTGATGACACAGCACCCTTATAACTCTGGCAGGAATGTATCGCTTGTATTTTCAGAGCCTGTCAATGCCCACATGCAGCTGGGTGCACCTGTTCTAATCACAGTATCAGTGAAGTGGCTCTCTCTTGCAAAGGATGGTTAAATCCTCTTGATCTTTTCTTTATTAGTTTCTGGCCTCTGAGAAGCAGAGTCAACACAACATTCTGCATAGTTTGGCACAGGCAGGGCTTGAAATTCACAGTCTTCAGAGGCCCCAGACCTCAAAGATGCTTTTAGAAAAGGTTCCTGCGTTTACTTAGTAACTGGTTTCAATCGGCCTACAAAAACTTTAATAAGAGGAAAATCAATTAGTGTCAATCAATTATTGGAGCTGTCAAAGATATGAATGTGTATCATCCTATTAATAATTATCCTTACGTGAAGTTAACTTCCACATGTATGCAGATGACACCCAACTCTATCTCTCCGCCTTCACCCTCAACTCCAGGACCACTGCTGTC